CACCGGCCAGTATATATATATATATACCCGTACCTTATCACTTACAAGGCTCTCCACCCTGTAGGGCAGTGATGAAAACGGTCAAAGGTCCCCCGGCCAGTTGCATCACGTGGCTCCTGGTGTACTTGGGACGCTCGCGTTCCGTGTCTGGTATTTCGGTCACAGACGTCTGTGGGCCCCCAAAGTTCTTAAAATGGACGAAATACCTCGACTATATGCGGCGTGATCCTCAACCTGTTAAAAATGAAAAATGCTCTTTCCTTAAAGACTTTTTTTGAGTCTCTGGGCAGATCCCTTCATGAGCCCGGTCAGCCAAGTCGACCCTCCATGTTAAAGACCTTACCTGCCCTTCGATGGACCTTTTCATTTGAGGCTCCCCTTGTTCGGTTCCTCTGTTCGAGGATCTGTATGAAATGAGGGTCTAGGGTTTCTCCTGTGATGTGTATTTCCGGAAGCCTGAAACCTGAGCGGCACCAAGCAAGAACCGTCTGCTCATTCCAAATCGTGATCCATATTGCGCAAGTCTTGCACCCGAAAGTGGCTCCGAAACCTCAAACCAGGCCCTAAAGCCACTATGCAAAGGATCTATGTCGAACAGTGCTTTTGGGTGAAGGTCGCTCTTCTCACCTTCTGCCCCTGCGGCAGCCCTTCCTTTGATTTCAATTAATGGCCCCATCCCCCCTTTCCACAAGCAAGCAAGTCAACATGAATTCTTCACGCAAACCCTCAAGCCCCACAACGCAAAAGCCTCGAAGCTCCTGCGTCTACAATAAACAACGATTCTAAGATGCGCGAGCCCCCGAGTCAGAGGGGACCTGTACCTACCCCTAAACCCGAAACCCTTCTGAATGTCCTGAAGGGTCCAGGCACCTATGTAGTCGATATGTGCCTTCGACGAGTTCCCATGTAGGGGATTTAGGACCGAAGCCTATATTATATGATGGTACCGTAAACTCGTAAACCCTAACCAGGGATATTTTGGTACCCTAACCCCTAAACCCTAAACAGGGATATTCCGGTACCCTAAACCCTATAAACCCTACACTTTAAACCCTACTACAGGGAATACACAAGCACCGTGACCGTCCCAGGTGTCCTTCGGGTCGTAAGTCCTGGCGGCATCGCCCGAAGAAACAGGGTCGGAGGCAGACGTAGGGCTAAAATGAGGGTTTAGGGTTTAAAGTTTAGGGTTTAGGGTCTTGAAACGAAGTTTTGAAGAACAGCACGGTAAGGGTTGCTGTGGGGGCCTTATTAATTAGAATAGGGATTTTGGGGGCTCCTTATTATAATTATAGTATAGTATACCCCAAACCGATTAAGGCCCCTATATTCCAATGCCAGGTTCTGTGGGGACTACCAGACATGGTGTTCGAGGGATACTGGCAGGCTATCTAGAGTAGGATAGCCTGTATACACTCACCAAACGGAAATATGAACACTGCCTCATGCAGAGCGCTTGTACTTCGACTCCTGCTTAGCAGGCCAACCAACTAGGCAACTAGGTCACACTGCCACATGCTATCAGACGAGCTCAAACTGTCTCGGCAGTCTTGCTTACTCATTGCTGTCTCTGCCATTGCTGCCCAGGGCTGCAAAGCTGCAGAGTTCGGGAGTGCATACGCCTGCGAAGATGAATGTTACCTGCTCGAGAAGGACGTTTCTCGTGTGAGGTGAAGATGCTTACAACCCTACCAAAGCTTCATCCTAAACCATCCAAAAAAACTCCATCTATACCCTGAACGCTCAATTCTACACCCTAGAAGCCCCGAATCCCAAACCCTCGAAACGCCTCTACGAAAACCGGCAGTGCTGGCTGTCCTCGGGTCTTCTGCCACGGAGCCTGCTTGACCGATTCGCGCGTCCAGCTGCCTCCGGTTGCAAGGTCTTTGCCAGGCACCCAAAGACTCAAAACTCCGTAGGTACGACTAGTGAAGAATCCTTCCATACTTGAAAGATCTTGAAAGTATAAATACCACTGAATAATACATGTAAGGAATATACCCTAAATCACGTTAAGGATCAGTCTATCGTTAATCATTGGATTAAGGGCCTTTGCAGTCTTTGGGCACCGAAACCGTGAGGATCCTTCGGAGTATACCCGGACCCAGACCCTCCTTGCACCCTAACATCGGAGTATATGTCCCTAATCGTCGGTATTTAAAGAACCAATCGAAGGGAGCTGGGGGGTGCACCTGGAACAGGGTAGTTGAACAAGAAACCCCTAAGTGTCAGGTTCTGATGTTGAGGGGTCTGTTGGGCCTGGGGTTGAGGCGTTAGGGTGTTAGCGGTGAAAGCAGTCCACGGTGTAGCATGGTAGTAGGTTGCGATCCAGAACAGATCAGGAAATCTAGGGTGCAGGAAATTGTTGCAAGGAATGAAATGAGGCTTTACATGGAAATGCCATCCATGGAAGAGGCCTTCATCTTCAAAGCAACCTCCCAAAGTTTAAAGCTCAAGCCTTAGACTAAAGAGCTCACAGCAGTTCTCACGTGCGTACATAGTGGAGTGTGTCCCAGAACTGCTACCGAGTCCTTTCACGGCTCCAGCTGCGTACATGACGGACGAGCAATGATACTAGTGAGTACTAGTAAGTAGCGACAGAAATGCCTTGCATGCCCGGTGACTGAATAGCAGAGGATACCTTTATGACCCATGCACACTTCTGTCTTGAGGCACCTTGGTGAATCTATGCCTATGCAGGAGTTTCAATAAAACCGGCCGCTCCAGATTTGCCCAGCTAGGAGCCCCAAGCGGGCACCCGAACCCAAAAAAACGGTTGCCCAAAACCCTAAAGCCTTAGAGGAATCCTAAACGGTTTGCATATCTTTACGGATCTGAGGCCCCTCGCCGATTCGAGCGAGCTGCACGGCGCTTGGGCTCGGCTCCGCGAACGGCCCGGGGCTGGCGAAGCAGAAGGAGGGGGAGCGTGCATGGCGTTTTAGGCATCTACAGTCATTTAGAGATTTAGAGCATCTAGAGTCCTTTAGAGATTGAGAGTTTAAGGTTCAGGCTTCGTGCAGTTCTTGTTGGCTGCATTCCCATTTCGGATTGAAGGTTTAGGGGTCGTGGGCTATTGAGATCCTGCTCGGGTCCTCGGAGGCTCTTGCACAGGGTGCCGTTTACGACATGGAATCAACCCGGCAGAGCTTCGTCGTGACAGCTGGCAGCTATAATCATAATTATACATAATATGGCTCCAGTCCCGCACATGAAACGCGGGCAGACCTACACATCCAGTAGACACCGTCTACGACAATGACAACGTCGGCGTTTAGCTAACCCCCCCAACCCCTATTGGTACCCTTTCAAGACATAAAGGAATGGAGATTTTGAAGGGTTCAGGGATGCCTTGCTTTTAGGTGCAGCCGCCGTGATGCTCTTTGGCGCGGCCGCCTGAGACAACATGGGCGAATGGGTTCAGGGTTTACAGTTCCTTGCAGGGTTGAGCGCTAGCGGTTCGGTGAGGGCCTTTAGGAGGGCTTACATAGAAGTTTTCGGTCCGGGGAGGACGGAGGGCATCGAATCTCGTGAGATTGACTTGAGATGGTCTGGGTTTTCAAGCTTGGGGCTTTAATTGGGGACTGTACGGGTCAACGGTTCGGCGACTTTCGGCGATAGAAGTCTAACTTCACAAGCTTGATCTGAGCTCGCCAAACCCGAGACATCGAAGCTGTAAATCATGCTGCAAGACACAGAGACGGTGACTTTGCCTCCAGCATCGCCTACGTACGAGCGATGACTAGACTGGACGCCCTTCATTCGAGGGAACATCTTGGCGGCGCTAGGATCATTAAATAAACCACTCACCTCACAACAAAAAAGTCCGAAACCTCAAACACTTACTTAAATAAACCCGAAGCCCTAAACGCCAAACCACGGAGCCCATAGACCCCAAACCCAAAGCAGTCTTGAGCCCTGCGAACCCCCCAAAGTCCCTAAACCCTCAGAAAAGCACGCTGGCCCCATCCTTGGGTGTGGCTGCTGACTTTGGATTGGCAGCTGCCATGGCATTTGCGGCGCGGGAAGCCTCAAATGAGTGGTTTTGGGGTTTGGAGTTTCTTCAAGTTTTACGGTTTAGGATTCTGGGGCTTTGGGGTTTGAGGCTTTGGGGCTGAGGGCTTCTGGTTCAAGATTCGGTGCTTCATGCTCTCATGCAAGACCGAAGCTTGAAGCTCCAGTTTTTTGTCTCTTTGGCGTTTAGAGTTCTGGGTAAGAGTTGTTTTTGACACTCCCCAGGCCTAGTGCACCTAGCCTTCGAAGTCCGGGCAGAGAGGAAGTACATCGTGGCGGAGAACGTACGGGGCTCGTCAAAATGCGTTTCGGATAAATAAACCATGAACTCCGAAGACAGGAGCCCAAAGCCCTCAAACTGCAAGTAGCCTCCGAGACTCTGGCTGATTGCTTGGGCTCGCCTTTGGCCACGTCCTTCGACTCTTTCGTAGCGGACCTCAACAGCAGGGTTTGGAGTTTAGAGGTTCAGGGTTTAGGGTTTAGAGGGTTTCGGTTATAAAGAATTTATAGGGTTTGGGGCTTAGGCCTTGAAATGCTTAGGGTGTGGAGGAGCAGAGGGATTATTGGCAGTTGCAGTTTTGCAGGAGCATTCATAGGTTTCAAGCGTGAAGTTCAGGCGGTGCGGGTTAAAGGGCTTGGCAAGATGAGCTGACTTGATGTAGTTCGGTTCCATTGCTGATAGCTCTTCCTGCAATCAAGCCTCACTGAATGGATTATGCCTTACAAAAGGCCCTAAACCCTAAACTAAAGCCGCTGAAACTCCACAAACCCCAGGTCTCAAACCCAAAACCCTAAATCCCCAGAACCCCTAAACCCTGAAACCCTAAACCCTGAAACCCTGAAACCCTAAACCCGAAAGAAAGCCCCCGATTCCGACCCCTTGGTTTCCGCGCTTTTCCCTCAGCTCCAGCCTCTCGGTCTTTGGCGGGGCCTCGGAGGAGCTTGGGGTTTAGGATTTAGGGGTTTAGGGTTTGTTAGGGTTTAGGGTTTAGGGTTTAGCGTTTAGGGTTTAGGGTTTAGGGTTCAGTGTTTGGAGCTCAGGGCTCTAATATCGGGGCTTGAATAGGTAGAACAGGGTCTTGTTGACAAGGCTGCTTCAGGGTTTTTTTCGGGCCTGGTGGGGCTTGTGGGCCATAACAATTAGAGTAGGTTTTGGGGATCTTGGAGTATACTCCAAGATGCCCCCAAAACCTAATATAACCTCAGTATAGTTACAGTTATATCACCGGAATTGTATTGGTAACTGTTTGGTAACTGTTCAGGCTTCTATATTGGGGTGTTTTGGTGCCCAGACAGTCGTATCTTCGCTGGGCATCTATATCCATTATATCCCGCCGGTCCTTATTATTGTTGCTTGCAGGGCAGATGAACGGATTTCGGTGTTTCGATAGAAATTTAGGACAATGTTGAGTCCTATTGAAACTAACGGCAAAGCCAGGGTGCGGCTTTCAGCACGGCCTTGGGAGGAGGGATCTCCTCTTCTTCCTCTTCCTCGTCCGTGTACTCGTCCTGTAGGAGGGTTTTCGGAGTCTCAAGCTTTTCGGCTTGTAGGGTCCTTTGGAATGTCGAGATGTAGCTCTGGGCTGGGGCACATGCACGTTAAGGGGCTCAGGGTGCGAAGGTTGCGGTTTGGGGATGATGCACTTGACCTTTCTCCCAAAAACCCAGAACCCGAAAGCCGTTAAACCCTTAAGCCAGACCCGTTAAGCCTGTAAAGGCCCATATAGACACTGACACAATAAAGAACAATTCAAAACCAGCAGACTACATTACCACATATGGAACCATACAAAAACAGAATCCTGAAACCCGCGGCCTCGCTGCTTGACGGCGCCTTCGGCGCGGCCTTGGCCGGCGCCTTGGGCGCCAGCTGCGCTGCCCCACGGGCGCCTTCTTCCGGGAGCAACAGCGTGCTTAGGGTCTCGTAGGGTCTCGGGTTTTAGGGTTCAGGGTTGTGGGGTTGAGGGCCTTGAGACTGGGCCTTAAGGGTTTGGGATTTAGGATTTTGGGGTTGGGCTTTGCGTGTGTAGGTCCCTTTACCAGGTTGTTTATGGTTGCTGCGCATGGATTGCAAGCTGAATCTTGGAAGAACGATGTTGGACTAGTGCAGACAGAACGAAGAACGGAAGAAACCAAAGGCTTTGGAGGAACTGTGTATTCAGGGTGGCTTAGGGAACAGGCTGCCGATCTCTGAGACAGTGCCATGGTTTGGCTGGCGAGATCATCACGAGACAGGCTTAGCAGATCCCGTTATCCCTCCGAGACCCCTGGCATAACTTTTTGATAAGGTTCTCCATCAAGTCTTCAAGACATAGCCATGAGCAAGAACATACACATTAAGTAAACGCATAGACTTAAAGACGTCACCTGAGTATCATGATAAAGCAAAACGATCAATTCAATCGGAACCCTCAGCAAGGATCTGATCGAGGCTCAAGCTCACGAACTCTACGGGTCTTTCGGAATCACACAGTATGTCGAAGCAGTTGACTGAACAAGATACAATCTCAGCGAAACCAAACAACACTCAATCATGCGGACACTTTAGGTGACACCAAAAGGAGTGTTAAGCAGCATGTCTGGCGTCTGGAGGCCTGGGGTGGCGCTGCGCTGTGGCGGAGGCGGTGGAGGAGGCGGATCGGCCTCGAGCGTCAAGGGCGGTGGGGGCCAACGGGTTTAGGGTTCACAGCCTACGTGGTTCGGGTTAGGAGGCTTTTTAGGGTTCAGGGTTTACGTATCGGCGCCGGGTTTTAACGGTCTAAGTTGAGAGGCAACTCTTGCCTCAAGACTTTACCTTTACACCCTACCGGTTTCACCCAAGGTACGTTTGAAAGCTGGAGTACAGTCATTTGATACTTCGCACTGAGGCTATGATGGAGTCTGGTTGAAACATCCGGGGAAATCCATGACCCACATGTAGACCTGGTAAGGCCAAAGCCACGGCCAAGTGGACTGACATCAAGCAGTCAAGGGGGGTGCAAACCAGTGTGCGGTTGGAGCTTAACCTGTTTAAGGGTGGAAGAGGTTGTGGATTTGGTCCATGAGGGATTGAAAGCTTCAATGGTTTCTGGTTTTCATACTTCGGGGCGTTAGGCCTCCCAAATCTCCGAATCAACTTCGAGTTACTCACTGTAGCATCTCGATGGAGATCTGTCTGCAGTTGGTTCTTGTGCAGAAGTCTGCGGTTCACAGAAAATGCTTCAAAGCTCTTTGGGTGGAAGCTTCGAGGGTAGAAGTTCTAGATTCTAGATGAAAGGAGATCGATGTGGAATGGTCTGCAATACTACAGTTAGTGGAACAAGGCTTGAACTGCTGCAAAGGTCTATGATGGATTTATTCATCTCGGCCCCGCGATGCGGCCATCCATTTTCCCAAATTGAGTTTCGAACTTGGCCAGTGTTAGGTTCAACCGATCACCTTCGGATACGTTGCGAGCGGCTGGATCTTCGTCATGCATGGGCGCTTCCTAGACTACCTGTCAAAGCTCTCTTCAGTCGATCGTCTCTCCAGAGCCGCACCGCTCTCAACACGAAGCTCCACAGCTTCCATTCAGAATGTCTCATCCGACAATGATAGCTGGAATTGCTGAATTTGGCAGGACGTCAATGTCCAGGAACTTCAGGCAACTCCGAAGACGACCCCTTCGGTGCACGAGCTCCCTCCAGGACAACTGCGCGCCACTCCTCCCCGGGTAAGGGTTCCTCCTTAACAAATCTGAAGTCCCATTCTGCTAGGTTGTGAGGTGCACCTGCACATGCACGGGAGATGCAACGTGGAGAGATGCCTGTCATGGCTGCTGCACTCTTGATCGACACGAAGTCTTGCCATAGACCTGCATAACCCCTGGTCCTCGCTTGCACAGCTTTGCCTTTCCAGATTGGCGTGCCACCCTTTGCTCGATGCCTGTAGCCGTGTTTGATGTTCTGCGCCGGTGTGACATACTCCAGGTTTTCGACATGGTTGTTGCCACGGTCTAGATCTATATGATTCACCTGCATATCCGGTGATAGTGGCTGGTCGAGAAAAGTTCCTGCAACCAGGCGATGCACGAGCAAACTCCGGCCCAGCCTGTTCACTACATAGTAGCCATTTCTGGCTAGAGTTCCTCGGGTCATGCCGCCCCTGCCCCGCTTGATTGGCGAAATACGCCCATGGTTACTCACGAGTAAATTCGGAATAGGGTCTGATTCACATGGATACTTGGCAACATGCCACCTTTCATCTGACAACCAGACTTGACGTTGTGAAGCCAGACATTCCTCGTCTGCCTGTTCTGACTCAAGCTTGAACTCGTACCAGATGCCACGCCCGAGAGCCTTCGTCCTCAAGCCTGTGCAGCACAAGGACACCTTCTGTGAAGCAACACCAAGAAGAGCGGAAGCCTCACTCTGTGATGCAGACTGGGACCACGAGGTGTTGCCAAAAGGCCGCCACAGGACCTTTCGACTCCTTTTGGCCCAGGAATGGCGCACATTCTCAGAAGCGGAAACATACTGTAAGTTCGACACGTGGTTGTTACTCCGATCTCCGTCAATATGATTCACTTGCCACCGGCTCGGGTCTGGCGGAGGACCAAAGAAAGTGGCTGCTACAACTCGATGTACCAGGTATGGGTGCTTGGCAATGAGAACCTGGCGATAGCCCGATTGCATCAGGCTTCCGAAGTGGATTGCACCAGTTGAAGTTCGAACCCGCCCGCATGAGCTGATCTGCCACGCATTCGAAGTGCATCGCAGCTGGTAAATGCTCTGAACACGAGCTGTAAGCACTCTGGAGCTTGATGCAGAATGCAGCATGGCCGACTGCGTCTCAAGAAAATCAGTCGAAAGAGCTTGCAAGTCGGATGACAAGAAGCTTGTGTCATCTCGCTGTTGACTGGCATGCGCTGCACACGGCTATCCCTGTACAATCTCCTCTTGCAGCACAACACATGGGTAATACAGCTCGCAAAGCCGCAAAACCTGTCGTAGCTACACCGCCCCAGCAGAAAACTCCGAACCAGTATTAAAAGCCGTAACCCCTAAGCAAGTCACACCGGCAGCCTCATTATACCCGTCCCTGAACTCGGTTTGCACACGGCAAGGCCTTCCGGGTCACAGCGACCGGTGCCGCCTGGTTCCAGGCCACTGAAAACAGCAACTACTAAATGCAAAGTTTGCAGAGACTCTGCGAATGCAACAGGCCGTGTACGTGTTCTTCTCTGAGTTGTGATTGGCCACTTGTGGAAACTAAAACCCTTTGAAGTCCGTCACCACTCGATCTCCCCAATGAAGTTTTACAAAGGACATAGGGTAACACACATATTTAAGCTCAGAACATCTAGTCAAGAACTGAAGCTTGAGGTTTGTATGACCCGTCTTGCCAACTCGCTCGACAAGTGCTTGTGGCCCGCCTGTAGGTCTGAACCCTGAAGGGCAAAGTGCTGCAAACTAACATGTGGGCAGGTTTGCCACATCAAGTAGACTACTCTTGCCAGCCGCCCGTGTGAAATATCGAAGCTCGCCTGTTGCTTGAACCTCTCAGCCCCTGTTCTGCTGAGCCGATCCAGCTACCTTGGACTTCGTAATCTGAGCGTTGTCTGTATCCACGACTCTGCAGCCAAGGAAGTCTCAATTTCCAACCCAATACTCCATCCTTAACGCCTAACACCCCAAGGCCTGAAACCCTGAAGCCATCACCAAAAACCAACAAACAACAAGATCAAGCATCTAATCCTCAACCTCATTCACGGAGGCCCAAAGCTCTAAAGCTTCAATCTCTGAGGCGCGAAGCTTCCTGCACCCTGAAAGTTCTTGATTCCCTTGACCTTCGAGTCTTAACCCGAAAACGAAGTTTCAGCCGGAACCCCGAGATGCCCTAAACTTCCCATCCCCGGTTGCTCCGCCTTGGGCTCGGCTTTCGGGTCCACCACCTCTGCAGCTCACGGACCCAAAGACAATACTATGATTGCGGCTCTGGGAGCAGTGGACGCAAAGCTTGCGCATAGGTTTAAGGTTGGGGGCCTATAGGGCTGTTACGGTTCTGGTTTGGAGCGGTGCAGGAGAGTTCTACGATATGGTACAACAACGCTAGATCTTTACGGTTTAAAACGCAAGCACAGCGGAGGGTCTGAGAGACCACTGCCAAAATGTCATGCAAGATCCAATGACATTTATTTTCACGCATTTACCTAGAAAATTCAGGTTGGCACCAATTGCATGGAGGGGGGGCTGTGCCGGTCCGACAGGCTTAATGTTCATGCGCATAGGTTCCAGCTGGATTTGGTCATGGGCTACCGATGCTTCATGAAATATTGGGCCGGCATTACATAGGCCGGTTGCTGCTTCGTGCTTGGGATGTGGCGCTTACGGCTCCGCGACTCAGGGGTGATGCAATTTCAACTTGATTGATCCTCCTTCGGTAGTAAGAAAAACATACATCGGCAAGTGACAGATATGATTTTGTAGGTGGCCCCTTGTAGTTGTGAAACAGGTCGGCTAGCATAAGTCAGACCTACCGACAAGAGACATCCGAAGGTGCAGAAACATTGACTGCGACAGTGGAGGACGTTCTGGGAAGGATCATGACACCTGCACACATATACCCTGATATTGGCAACACTTGTGTCATGACCTTTGTTGCTCAAGGTACAATCGCAGCACCTAGCATCCCGTTGTCATGATTATTCATGCCTGCATAGCTCACTTACAGCAGGTTTCCAATGGACAGTGGCCCCGACATAGACCCTCAAAGAAAATATCCTAATTCAGTTACCCTTAACCTGGACCCTCGCATACACGCTTTCAAACCTAACCGATGCGAAAATCCGCTTGCGAGTAATTCCTACAGCAAACTCCGAAACTCCTGAAGTTGCACGAATAGCCGTCTCTCACGGCTTGCCTCGTCGTGCTCCTGCACTTCTTCCTCCTCTTCCTCTTCCTGGCTGTCCTCCTCGCTGGAGATCTGCGCCGCGAGCAGGAGCAAAAAAGCATGATGCCTCCCTGATTGCTACAGTATACCCATAGGCCCTAAAGTAGTTCCTTTTTGGCGTTCATATATAGAACCCTATAAGGTATCCCCGAAAAGAAACTACTTTAGGGCCTATGGGTAGCTTTCGTTCCAGCGACTTGACGACTTAACCTTGCGCTCCCAACGGGCGAATAGATAAAACCGTTTTGCTTCATGAAAACCACAGGAGAGGTTTACTTGCGCTAAACTCGGCGAGCGCCGACCCCTAAGCCTATATATTTATATGCGGCATAAGCCCTCTACCCCAAACCCTGCACACCAAAAACCCTAAGCTCCCCAACACCCCGCCCCCCGGGCCAAATGATAAACCTGAAACTAAATGCCTTATGTCTATGTCCCAAGTCCTGGCCCTGAACCCACACAAAGGTCCTGACCTCCCAAAACCTCGACAACCTAAAACCCTTCCAGCACGCCGCTGGGATGCCCCTTTTAGAACCCTACTTTATGGAACCCTTGTCGTCCTGAACCGTTAGAAACATGGAGGGCAGTTGGGTGCTCCAGGTTAAGTCTGCAGCAACACCCCGGCCTCAGCCTGCTTCTCGGCTGGGGCCTGCCGACTCCATGCTTCTCCATGCTTAATGTAGGGGCCTTAATAGTTAGAATAGGGTTTGGGGGTCCTTTATCGTATAACTACACTAAGGAACCCCACGATACTATAGGTAATTATTTAGGCTTCTATATTATGGGGCGACGGGAATATAGGCAAGATGGGGGGAGGGGAGGGCGGGGTGTATTTCGGAAAACAGTGGCTTCGGCTTTAGGAGGAAGCGGCTGAAGGCATGGAACACTCAAGGGCAACTGTTGAAACCGACCCCCCTCCTTCTCAAACAGAGGCCCCCCAGAATATAGTAAGACCTGAAGCAAACTTATGCTTGCTTAAGAACCTCCCACCAAGGCTGCAGGGCACCCCATCATTTCATAGTTTGGAACACCCTACGTCTGCACTGGACAGCTGTGCTAAGACTGCCCAGCTCCGTGATAGCCGGGGTGCATCCCCAAAGCCCGCAACAGTCTAGGCTAAGCTTCTTGAGTTCTCGCCGAAACATCCCTCACCCACATCATTTGACGTGAAGCGTCAGAGAATACCCCTTATCAGCCAAGTGTCCTGAGTCTCACTCGCCCGTTCTTGGGCGACCCCGGCCTAGCGACAAAGAGCAAGGGCGCACTTCCAGTGATGAGCTTTAATATGCGATTTTGAGCTTTGACTTCGTATGGTGTTGCAAGACGCTACTCCAACCAGCTTGATGTAAACAGGCCTCCCTTATCGCATGTGCTTTTTCGGCGAGAACCTCACGTGTGAAACCCTTGCCTCCTCTACGTCGCCTTCTTGATTGGTTGGGTTGCTGGACCCTGCAATGCGCATATTTCGCTGGAAGCCTGGCCTCTGGCCTACAGACTTCAACCCCTTGAGACCTGGAGTTTCCAAGTGCCAGGACACGCCTGGGGCTTTCAGGGTTTGGGTGTCGAATCCCAAAGGGGTTCAGGCTTTTTGGGAGTGGCTTTGAATCAGAGTTAGCAAGCATCTCTGGCATTGATGTGCTGGGATGCAGACCAACTGACGCTGGAGCTCCGCGCAACCTCGCTCATACGCCGGGGAGCACCAAAAATGCAGACCCTCTTGCTTGAGCAAATCTGCTTCTCGTAGACACTGTACTGTCCAAAGGTTCATGCCGCTGATGGACAACATCCTGCGCTACACATCATATAATACAAGGAATGCAATTGCAGCAAGTCCCTCAATACGAATCCTTCGAACAAGGCAGAGGTCTTGTTTCGTAGCCTGCATAATGTAATTAGGGGCCCTAATAATTGGCATAGGGTTTTGGAGGTTCCTTACTATAATTATAGCATAAAATACGTACCCAAAACCTTATTCTAATGATAAAAGCCCCTATATTAACCCCGAGATGCTCTTTCTGGGATCCCTGCGAGCCGCCAGCTCCGTTCCCTGGAAGAGGCCACAGAAGTTGGCTTCCGCAAACTTGAGAAAGGTTACGTGGTAGATGGATAGATAGATCGGTAGATAGATTAAATTAGATTTGGTTAGGTTAGGTTAGGTTAGGTTAGGTTAGGTTAGGTTAGGTTAGGTTAGGTTAGGTTAGGTTAGGTTACATTAGATGAGGTTAGGTGAGATAGATTAGAGTAAGATTAGACTAGATAAGGTTAGGATCGATAGATAGATCGATGGGTGGATAGATAGATTGATAGGTAGGTAGATATCATTGCACACATGCCATACAGATATATGTTAATATATATATATATATAGTAAGATATTCACAGATTGTATAGTTTTGTTGTTGTAGGTTTGATGAGGTCAAGGGTTTCGGGGTGAGGTGCACAGTGCACACGGCGGTTTTAAGGCGAATGCTTGCCCAGGCCAGGGGGTGGCTTGCTTGCGGCGTTGGTGTCTTCGGGGTTTCTCGCCCTTAACCAAGTCTTCATGGACTCAAAAAGTGTCTAAGTCTAGGATTCGGTGCCGGTCTCCGACGGCACCCGACACCCTAGTCTTAGACCCCCATAAGGAACTGGTGACCCTAAACCCTAAACCCCGAAACCTTAATCCCTAAACCGCCAATACCCGCCGGCGCTGCCTTCCGCTTCAACTCCTCTATGGCCCGCTGGTTATCTGCCTCGTCTCTTTGCGCCTCTGCAAATTGGACTTAATGGGTGATATATAGGTGTCTTGATCGTTACAGTAATGAGGTTTGGACCTGCTTGAGACGAGTTATGGTAGGGTAGGAGTTCGAGACACCGTGGATGTAGGGGATCCTGGTTCCAGCAACTA